TGGCTTTTAAAATGTRCTTCGTTGCACATTCTTCAGTTAATTCTCGAAAGAAAACATTAACGTTTCATRCGGTGTAAACACTGAAWTGTGATTGGTTGAGCCATGTACTGGGAACATCAACAAAATAAGTTAAAACAATTCGTATTCCCGGTTTAGAAGAATATTTACATTTTTTCTGGTATTTTRTGTATAGTTTTYTTATTCWATTTCGATTAACTTTRCATAYATGGAAATGTATCCAAATAATTCTTAAATTATCTGAGCTTTAAGTTTTAAAGAATTGTTTTGAATGGTCTGTCAATAGTTTGAATTAGCATCGAGATGACTCGACAGCCGGCCAAAAATGAAATAAGTTTGATGTTTGATTCATACGTCGAGCTAAATATGCCGAATCTAACAGCGTTTTTTCAGTCATTTATCGAAAGAACGTTTTTTTACGTATTCAACACTGAATAAGGCTTGCACGAAGATAATGCGCAAAACGCGTAATTTGTTAAAACATAATATTGCTCAGAGATGTTAACCTACCGATATGTAACAGACTGAAGAAGCAGATATGATTTCCTGTTAAATTGTCTGGAAGCAAAGGCGTTTTCTTTTCCAGAGCGCGTGGTTAATATCTAGAGTCTAGCCCAAAGTGCAGAGATTCGTTTTCATTATTGATTAGTGCAATTGCGATTCCAAGGAAAACTACGACGTCATTKAKCAGATGTTTGGTTATTTACRCTATTGCGCAAGCGATTTCTCGTTGATCGAGCTGTTTTATGGGATCTTTGTATGGATACTTGCCTACTATTTTTCAATGGAATCTGGTTTTGTTAAGTACTGTTTTTCTGGTTTTGTTAAGTACTGTTTTTCAAATTTATTTCGGCTTAGAAAACTAGATCACAGCCGCTCTGCGACCACTGTAGGTGTGCCTTAGACAATAGCTTTTAAATCTGAGAAATATCTTATTATGTGTTTTGTATTATATCTTTATGAATATATTACATCAACTGAGTGCTACGTAGATTCTGGAAAAATCACCTCTCTCACCCCCATTCTCCCTCTTTTTACTACAAAAAAAAAGACAGGAAGCCCAATATTGTGATGCCTGCGGAGGAATCTATGTCGTTGTAAGCCTTTAGAATCCAGACGGTGGTCAGATGAAGTCTGGATTTCTCCATACATTTTAATTTCCCAAATTTTGCGTATCTTCAATAGCGGATAATTCCGCAACCAAACGCTCTACAATCTTAAATCTATGTCGAACTATGTAGTGGTTAATGCGAGTAAATTAAAAATTGAGATGACGTAACTGAAACAAGCCATGAATATTTAATTAGGGAAATTTCCCTTCGTCTATGAAATGAAAGTGAAATTTCAAAACTCATCAAAAGTAAAGACAATTCTTATCTCAGCACTGTATCTTAAGGTCCGCGTTATAGTCATTTACTGATACAGTGAAAAAGCGCTTCCATTTTTCAGAACATGATCGACACATTGTTTCTCGACCCGGATTGCTTCTTGAACTGGCTACGCGTATAAACAACTGTGAATAATACTACTTACCATCAAAATACAGCCCTTCTGTCACTGTTCTTTAGGAAAAGAAGAGCACTCTCATTGCTACTAATGATCCTAAAAGAAAGTTGATATTATTCGTCAAGATTTTACGCAGTTTAGGGCTTTATATTGACTATCAGTAGGGCAAATCCATACTCATCCCTAGAGAGATCTCTCGCGGTTCATACTTCGATAGCGTGATAACAGGTTAAATCGATTTGAATGATTTTTTGCATATCTATGAAGTTTGATGTCCAAACTCGCTTTTAAAGATTTAAAAATCTCTAAGGCAGTTACATATCTTTATAGGTCGAAGGACGCTACAGCACCAGACTTGATGAATGTGGGCTTACCTTATTCAAAAGACATCAACTGACCATAGAACTTGATATAACCGATTTGTACACTTAAATTGGACTAAAGATACAAATCTATCCTTAAATCAAAAATGTTTGAACGTGTCTACGAGCAATTTACAGGGCTCTGCCTTGATGAAAAGTAAAATGTGCTTAGCAGCATATTCTTGAAATTATCATACCGTATGTTTGCTAACAGGAAGCCCAAATGTGAAGTATAATCACTTCCGGTGATAGGAAAAACAAAGGAAAACTGCATTCAGCTTTCGCATAGCCTGTTTTATTGATTGATTGRTTTATGCTTTGAAAGTTGCACAAAAATTGAAGTAGGTACCGGAGAGGTAGAATTTGAGGACATAGTATTTTCTCGTTAGGGAGGTTTCCAATGATGGCAAAAAGCGAACAAGAAAACGAAAGAAAGAAAAATCCAATCAGAAAAAGAACTTTTCTTGGCATTTTTCTTTCACTATTTTAGCTTCACTCGATACGACCATGGTAAAACATGAACGAGGGAATTCGAGGGAATTCATTTTTTTTCCTTTATATATTTGATTTAAAACCGAAAACTTTGATACATGATATGTGTTATCCTGCGACCAAACAAAAAGTCACAACCCGTGGGTTTTAATACGAAAACATGAAATGGCGGTTCATGTTCTATCATTGAAGTCCGTATATTTTAGAAAGTTGCAGTAATTTATTTGTATCAACTGCTCGAATTTCTTCATGAAATCTTCCTCATAACGTGCATTTATCAGGTACAATTTTAATAAATCCAATAACATAGTATATAGATATGATTTATTAATTCATGCAAAACGTTTTTACCCGTAAAATACAAATACAAACGCTAAATGTGTGCAACACTTTGCACTATTTACTACAAAGTAGTGCTAATTAAACAATAGAATTAGCATAATTTAGCAGTATTTAGTGGAATTTATGTTGCACAGTTTTAGTGTTGCACTCTACTAACCAAAAAGAGCTTAGTAAAAAAACCCGTGAAATGCTAAATACATGCACTAATACACTGTAATAGAGTGATCACACTTAAACCGTGCAACTTTACAAAATCTAAGTAGTTCTAATTTGTACTAAAAGTGGGCCTGAAGTAAGGCGGTATTGAATGCTTCATTTGTATCAATTCAATTTAATTTGCTTCTCGCATGCACGATTTACTAAATACAACTAAACATCACTATTTAGTTTGTACAGGTGCATGGTTTTAAAAGTACGATCACTTAATATTACAAGAATTAGTATAAAATAAAACAAAAATAGATGGAGAACTAAAAATGAGTTTACTCGCTCTCTAGATCAAGTACGCCTTTCAAATTTGGCCAGTTAACTCCTTTTTGCAGTATCTAACGTTTGCAAWTGATAATTCTTTCKGAATTTGAATTCAGCGAGAATTATTTCACATCGATTTCCCGGTCATTCCTTGTTATTTTGCGACACCATGCCTACCGGTCCAAAATGGCGGACAAAACCGTCACCTCATCTATTTGCGAACACTCTACGCTCTAGTTGCATTGTTTTCTTTTGTGTTTATTTTAATTACCAACTTTTTTCACAGGCTAAATGACTTCATTCTAAAGCCGGATTGAGCTGATTATAGTGTACATCAGAAAACAAAGGAATTAGCATAATTGTGTTTTTTTTTTTCCTTGGGCTATTTAATGAATTTTTTTTTGTATTTTATATTTTTTATTTTTTTAGCTATTTACTGAAAATGTGTATTGCTTATTTACAAAGTACTGCCGCGTATCATCAAAAAGTCAAAATCTTAATATATGTCTCGCGTTCCGTACTCCTATAAATATTCGTATTACTACATGAATCATTCACTTATTTACAGTATACTGGTAATGCGTATCAGAAACTAATAACGAATTCAAACGCACGTGAAAAACTACGTACATGTCTTGCGTTGGGTCACACTCCTGAATATTCGTATTACTACTTATCCTATACTAATTTCCGCGTAGTTTAAGTCCTTCTTATTTACAGTATACTGGTACGTAATGCGCTCAAAAACTAATAAGGGAATTCAAACGCGTGTAAACTACGTTCGTGTGTTGCGTTCCGTACTCCTGTATATTCGTATTACTACCTATCCTAATAATTTCCGTGAATTAGGTCAACTGCTTATGATTCACAGTATACTGACAAAGCGTATCAGAAACTAATATAATTCAAACGCGTGTAAACTACGTATGATGTCTTACGTTCCGTGCTACGTATTCGTTTTACGTATATCCGTGCGTAATTTCCCTAATGGTAATGTGTATCACCATAAACGCATAGGAAAATTAAAACGTATCCTACAACGTAAATTTCTTGCACTCCGTGCTCTACAATATTGTTATTACGTATCCGTATGAATATACGTGTAATTTACGTATTGCTTATTTGCAGTGATGTTGATGCGTATCACTAGAAACCCAGAATAAAAATGTCAACATCAATGCATTTCTTGAAAAATATTTCTAAAGAAAGAAAATCTTTAAATATTCATTATTCGTAATACGAGTGGCTATATATTTTGCATCGAGCTTTGAGTACCTAATATGGCATAAAAATATGCCAATCACGTTTGAATGTTCCAGAGCATGCGTACTCTGGCTTTTATTCTATTACGAGTTGCTTATTATAGCAACGATACTTAATTGATTATGTGATTGATGCAACATTTTTCTAATACATTCTGTTCAAAATATTTAAAGCTATGTGTTCTATAGTTAATCTTGGTAGTTTCTTGTCTTGTGGACTACCAGGCTGTAGTAGGCTTGTGGAACACATGCGTGTTTCTGTCAAAATAAAGTTTGCGATAATAAGCTCATAGAATGTTTAAATGTTTCACCGCATGTGTGTGAATTACACTGGAAAAAATCGCGCGCTTTAAAGGTTGTAAATTTGATGTAAATATGATGTAAGTGTCCAAAATTCTGTAAATTTAATGGAAATAATTTACATCAAATTTACAGAATTTTGGACACTTACATCATATTTACATCAAATTTACAACCTTTAAAGMGCGCGATTTTTTCCAGTGGTAACTCATGCTGATTGGCTGATAAAAGTGCCAATGAGTTTCATTTTAACCCGCGACTCCATTCCAAAAAGCAAATAAATAAGAACCATGACCAACTCAAATGCTTATATAGCATAGTTATAAATCAAAAAAGGTTTGACAAAAGCCTTACTTAAGTACCCATCATTGCAGAGTGACCTCTTCCAAATGACTAACTTTAAACGAGACGACATCTCTATAGAAAACAAAAACTAAACATATGCAACACTTTGCACTATTTACTATTTTAAAAATTGTACTAGCTGAACAATAGAAAACAATATTAATTATAATTACAATAATTTAGCAGTATGTGTACACTTTAAGTGTTTGTACTGTACTACTTATAACTAAAGTATCTCGTAAATTGTACTTACATAAGCAATTCATGGCTGTTGCTCGTGATCTGTCATATCATACTTGATTTCTTCCCTGGGGCCCCACCCATGTGTAGTCACAGCTTTGTAAACCTCCATCAGTAGATGTGGAAATTCTTTCAAAAACACAAAGTCCTCAAGAATCAGTTTCCTAATGTCAGGTGGTCGACTGCACTCAGACACGTGATTTTTTGCGTTCCTGATGAAACGAACTAGCTCAACCATGGAWYTAGTATCGTAGGTTCTTGGGTTTTGGAAGTAGGTTGCTCCCTTTTTATTTACTTTCGCGATCGGATTCTTCATCTCGGCTACAACTTTTGCCACATTTTTGTAATTAGGATCATCCCACTTTGCATATCGTACGATGTTGGCGAAGTTGTTTTCAAGATSAGCTTCCACTSCCGTGGTTACATGATAAGAGGCTGCTTTRSTWGTAGATGGACACTCAAACTCGTACTGATTGCCAACAGCACATAGGRAATCCATCTTCTTCTTTTGAGACCAAAAGAATGGATGATGTAACRAATCGGCAGCAGATGGTCGCTGGTTGTCATCTTGTTCAAGCATGCCTTTAATTAGGTGCGCGGCTTCAGGAGAAAGGTCATTATTCCACCCATCCATTTTATTTTCCCKCATATTTACTGGTGTTTGGATATCATCAATGTTGGTGMATCCTGCTGGGTYGAATGGATGCTTTTGCTTTGAAAGAATGTAATGTAGCAGGAGTCCACARGAAAAAACATCAGACGATGTRGAATGCTTGTGTGACTCAGACGCCAACAATTCTGGAGCAATCCAGCAACGGGTACCTACTTTGGAATGAAGAACAGTTGTCCTRCCAGYCGTGAGAGGACTACTGAGACCAAAATCTGCTATCTTAACGATAACTTTGCCATCTTYATCAAACTTGTAAAGGATGTTTTCTGGTTTGAGATCACGGTGAAGAATAGATTTTGGCTTGTGCTGGTGTAAATATGCCAGACCCTGTACAACATCACGGCATAATCTTGGTCTTCGACTTGCATCAAACGATGGACTTGGAAAATAATCGTCTAGATGCCCCTCCATCAGTTCTAACACAATGAACACAAAGTCTTTATCACTGACATCGAAAGAGATGTACTTCACGACTTGTGGACAGTCTGCCAATTCTACAAGATTACTTATCTCTCTTTTATCTTGTCCCTTMACTTGACTTCTTTTTATTTTCTTGATTGCAACCTCCCTTCCATCGTTCTTACATATTCCAGCATAAACGTCGCCGAAGCCTCCTTCACCTATTGGTTCTTTATGATAACAGTAGGTACCTATCTCCGCAACGTTTTGCTTTCTCGAGACTGCTCTAAGCTTCTCTTCATGTATTGTGGAATGAGAAGTCCATGGAATTATCTCTTTCATTTGGTCTGGAGTTATTACGGCCGTCAAAAAGGAGTGGAGGTTTGGGAAATCGTTACACAAACTGTTGCCATCGGCTCCATAAAACAGTAGTTGTCTTCCAATATCAAAAAAGACATTCGATTTCGGAGTGCTGCGATTTTCACTATCAACAATTCTCGGTCTCTTATTTGGGGGCTCTTCAGATTCATTGCCTTCTTCAATTCCAACACGCTGTTCTTGCTTCTGTCCCAGTACCTGCTTTTCGATGTTTGTGCAAATGTGGCGGAGTGAACCATCGAGATTGGTGCTAGAGGCAAGTTGTGGTGAGGTTATAAGCGTTAAAGTAAGAAGACTTTTCCAAGTCGTACTTGTGGACTGATCTTTGCAAATAGCATCCAGCAACTGTTTTACGATTGTGGTTGATTTACAATTTGCAACAGCAACATCGATCAAACCATTGGCCAGTGCATAAGCCTCGGAATCCAGGAAGAT